TGTATAATGTTAGTCGCTAGAGCTAATTATAGCAAACTATAGCTATGATGAGTAATTAAATAGTATAAGTTTGCTTAACCGCGTAATTTTCCTTTTAACTTATATTCATTTCTTACGTTTGAGTGAAGTTCATGCATTTTAACTAAAGTTTATATAAAATGATCAAAATTTTGGTTAATTTACGTGAACGTCAATCATATGTGCATGAATTTTGGAGATGAAATAATATTAAACATATCGTGAGTTCTCAAATTAGAAAAAATTATATGATCTAATGTATAATTTCATTACGATTGGAGGATCAAGGACAAACAAAATTACATGAAAGAATTGAATTGGGTTAAGGGTCTGAAAAATACTCCAACTTTGGTCGAATTTGTTGTTGCGATACTAAACTTTCATGAGGGCCTATTACCTTCCTAGACTATTTAATAATGTAATTTTTACCTCCTGAACTATTTAATAGTGCATTTTAAAGGTATATATGTGCCCACGTGGACACATTACTATGTATAATTTTGCATTATTTTTAATGTCCACGTGGACAAATATATATGTTTAAAAATACGGTATTAAATAGTCTAAGGAGGTAATAGGTCCTCATGAAAGTTTAGTATTGCAACAACAAATTCGACCAAAGTTGAGGTATTTTTCAGACCCTTATCCCAATTGAATTCACATCTATTATTCAAAATAATAAATCGTATTTAATTGACCTCCCATTTTTCTTCAAAATAATAATAACTCTCCTTCATATGGTCATTGTTACCAAAACACCTCCAATAATTATGACCATCATCTACACTTTGATAATCACAAATAACATAGTCATAAAACATGACTCCACTACTAATTATGGCTATCACATAAATGGGAATACCAGCCAAAAATCCAAAAAGTGGATAAAATTGATAAACAAACCCAAAATAAATGGAAGAAAATAAGAACCATATAGCAAATCCCAACAAATTCTTCTCCAATGTCTTATTTTTCTTTGGTAAAAGACTTCTAGCTATAGACGATAAGTAGTTGGCCAAGAAGTAACTGAAATATACGAATACGATAAGAATTAAAGATAAATATTGACGGTTAGAATACTCTCGGTTTATGATCAAAAAGGTTAGAACACAAAGTAATGTGAATAGCGTAAAAGTAGTTAATGGAGGAGATTTTTTTCTTCCTTTTTTCATTTCCATAGCAATAATGATGATTGTTGTTGATTGTTGTATGGATGAAGTTTGAAAATGAAATATGAATAGAGAAATTAAGAGTCAAAAAGACTTAAATTTAAAAACTAAAGTTGGGTTCTTGTGATGTAATTTATTTGTATAAAATTATATATAACTATATATAGGGTGGGGGGGTGGGGTAATAAAGAATAAATGGACAAATTTTATGTCAAATCACTTGACAAAGACTTTTGGGAATTTTCTTTGCACTCTCTTGGAAGATGCCTCATATTATAGTTGAAAGTTGTGCTTTGTTGCTTTTTGGTGGGTTCATGGAAATTCACTACTACTTTTCATAAGGGTAATATGGTAAATAAATATATACATGAATAGCGTAAAAGATTATTTTTCTTACACATTGTCAGTATATTTTAATTTGTTATAAAAATAATTCTTTTTATTTAGATTACAGGTTAATGTTTCAAGAAAATTACGTATAATTATCTTATAAAAGATTTAAAAATTCAAATCATTTTAAACTATTGATATACAAAAATTTTACTCATAAGAAAATAGCATATGGCCAAGAAAAACCGTAGAAAAACATCCAAGTCCTCTATCAAATTAATTTTCATCGTATACATATAGTGATGTGGATAGTGATCGATAGAAATTTTAGCTCTTTCCGAATAAAACATAGAAAATCATCCAAGTCCATCTGTCAAATTAATTTGTATGGTATATGTATTGATAGCGATTGATAGAGATTTATATTACTAGTAAAATTTAATTTATTATAACATGTTATATGTTGATCAATATGCCCCAAAGAATTATCGGGTATTCCTTAATGTCATGAGAAAAGGAGGAGACAAGCTAAGAACATTTGGTTAATGTTTACACATGATCCGCAGAATCATTTCTTGTGTTCATTAATATTCTATCTATGAGTTGTATATTATAACATTTTCAAATTTAACTTATATAACAAATATATAGAAACCACTATATCTTTTATTTAAGATTTTGACTTAGATAAATCAAATTCTTGTATGTTACAAATAACATCATATTTATATCTACTTCTGTTACTAAATGTTTTTTTTTTGTTTTCTCAAATAAGTCCACGTGTTTATGTTAAATCATATTAATTTATTATGATTAAATCATAAATTAAAGTGATAATGTATGTTAATTATATTTACTACATTCAAAATTTCCGTGGTCGCACACTCTTCTCTATTAGAGGCGATATCGGAATTTGAAATTTATGAATAGTCAAGTTTATTAACTCATACATTATTGGGCTCACCAAACCCCTGCCTAATATTATAGTTCTTGCTCCCTACTTTGGGAAGTTCAAATTAGCTTTGTCATTGTTCTCTTGAAAAACAATTTGTTTAATTTCCATCTTAGCTTAATTAACTCATTTGATTTTTAGTTAATATATAATTATTGGATTTGAAGAGCTTTAATTTGGATTCATTTACAAACTTACATATAATTGTCTTTCTCAAACTGATTTTGGGAAATTTAACACATAACATTGAGATTGGTACTCTGTGTACAAACAAACATGCCTTATTACTTTTTAATAACTCAACATTTTTAGGTAATACTGCGTACAATATATAAACCTTAGTAATTCGGTTTTATCTTGAATTCCGTACATAGAATTTAGTGCACTGAAATGTCCTTAGTAACTCAAACTTTTTCCCAAATGACCTCCCATCTTTCTTCACAATAACTCGTCTTCATTTGATCATTGCTACTACCATAATACCTAAAATTATGGCCATTATCTCCATCTTGATTATCACAAATAACATAGTCATAAAACACAACTCCACTGATAATTATGGCTATAACATGAATAGGAAGACCAGCCCAAAATCCAAAAAATGGGTAAAATTGATACACAAACCCAAAAATAATGGAAGAATACAAGAACCATATAGAAAATCCCAACAAATTCTTCTCCAAAGACTTATTTTTCGATGGAAGGCTTCGATATATAGACGATAAGTGATTTGCCAAGTACGCACTAAAGTATATGAAAAAGATGAAAGCTAATAACGAGTAGTGACTATTACAATATGCTCGATATATTGAAGCAATAAAATTGAATATGATCAACAAGGTTTGAACATATTGTAATGTGAATGGTGTAGAGTTTGTCATGGAAGTAGTTGGACTTCTTCTTTTACAACTAGTTTGTGTATACATGAATTTTTGTGTGTGTGTGTTATCTTTGTGTATTAGATATTAGACATATATATAGAAGGTAAAGAATATAAAGGGTCAAAATGTCATGTCAATTATTTTAGTGACTTGGACTTTTTGTCAATTGAAGTTATTATGTAGCTCCTATGAACCTTCTTGGAAAATACACTTTGTGGAAATTGCTTCTTGTTTTCTTTGGTTGGTTCCTGGAAATAATGTGTTACTGTAGTGGATATTACTAAGAAATTTTACTTTATGACGTAGTGGTAGGGTCCGTGTATAATCTATTCTTGAAGTTTCATATAGCATCAACAATTATAATTGCAGAAACTCACCTCTGAATTTGTTTTTAAAAGTCAGTTACATTTTTAAATTATCATTTGACCAATTACACCCCTATACTATTCAAGAGTAAATTTATTTACCTATAAGACCTATAACACTATTTTCACAATGTGAGGTGTATCATACTCGTGTCACGTCAATGTTATCTCACTACCACATCAGATGTCTTGTTAGATTTCGAAAAAAAATCGACATATCATTCAATTATTTCTTCTTCAAAGAACAACACCATGGAACCACCACCATTACCATCGTATTAGTACCAAATTTATATATTTCACCATCAAAAATTAAACTGGACACCACAAATTTCCCCACATACGATCAAACCCACCATCGGAGTCACACTACCACCGTCATTCCCACAAAAATTGTAAAGAACCACCACAAAATTCAACACCCATAACCAAACTCATCACTAGAATCACATCATCACCATTAAAAAATACAAAATCCACCACCAAATATCACCTCCACCATTATCAATTTTAATTTTTTTTCTTCACCACCTTCAATTCCCTCTTCTTTGCCACCTACCAAACATCACCAATAAATCCACCATTATTTTTTTTTAAAACTCAGACATCAATTTTATCAACCACCAACAAAGTTTAAGAGAAAAATCGAATATAATATATATGGTGAAATTGGAGAAGAATTAAAATAGTATATGATTGAGGAGGGGAGGGGAGGGGGGGAGGGGAAGATGATTCTGGGGAGGTGGGGTGGGGGTGATGTGGATGAAAATAGGGTATGAAAAATAAAAGAATAAAAATGAGGAATAAGAAGAAGATACGGGTGGGGTGTGAAAAAGAAGAAGAGGGGCTGGAAAAAGGATTTGATTAATTTATTTATCTTTCTCAAATGAGGTTTTTTTTGTCTTTAAAAATGTATAATAGATCGTTATGATAGTTTAAACGTGTAACTAATTTTTTGAAATAAATTCAAAAATGAATTTATGCCTTCCCTATAATTATCATATATAACTTGATAACAATAACAACAACATAATACTCCGTAAATTTCCACAAAATGAGATTTAAAATACATGATCTGATATTATATTGAATACTATATTACTGTCATCATATATAAATCAAACTCGAATATTAATTTTGTGAGAAATTTATTAGCGTGAAATTTACTAAAATATTGACACCCTTCAAATAAAATTTAACAAGGAATCACTCAAGTAATAAAGGATACAATTTATTAGATGGGTTAAGTCATATATAATGTTAAAGATCATAATCTCGAGATAACTAATTCTAAAATAAGTTATCTGGTAATTTTACCGAGCCCTTGTACCTTTCCTAATTCTCGTTTTTAAATCACAAGTTCCTAACACTACTCCAAATTTCCCAATCAAAATGTGTTACGGCGGTCAACGATTACCGTCAAAAGACGACTTAACTGACCCGACCCGCCGGACCCGAACTTTACCGGCGGCGAACGAGAACGTCGTGGTAGTTGAAAACCTCCGGGACCGGTTAGCTGAGACAGAGGCGCGGTTGGAGCGAGCTAGGGCTCGGGAAGCGGAGCTGAGCCGGCAGCTGGAGGAGATGAAGAGGTACGTCTGCGTTATGGAAATTCTGGAATGTTACCTCAAGCGCCGATACAAAGAACAGCAAGTCAGAACCCTAGCAGTGGTAAATTCGAAGTAAAGATGATTTATGTGGTTAAAATGGATTTTTAGGGTTTCATGCTTTATGTAATCATGTGTGTTGTAATTGTATATTCTTCAGTGTGATATAGAATTGGTAATCAATTGAAGTTGAAATACTCTTCAATTTTATTGTTCTATGTGTTAAGCTTGATGTTAATCTGGATTATAAATTTCAAGTAGTGGAGCTAAGCAGTATAGAAATTGATGGTAAGGGAAGTTCCTCGAGGTCGAGGAGCTGAATGGAAATTGGTTGAGCAATGACTTGTTGTTAAAAGTTGATATTTGTGTTTGTAAGAAAGCTATTTCAGCTGCAATGGTTTAGGTATATATCATCTACACACCCAAACCAACTCTATGAGTGTGATTTGTGTTCTCGCTAACAGCAAGATTGATATGAGGAAATGGTGGCACATGCTGAAAGGCGTAGTCTTTCAAGAAAACTCAATGGTAAACTAGTTGGAGTTGATGTATACCTTCCACTCTAATTGGAGCCATTTCTTTTCGTAATGTTTTAGTGTTAACAGAAAAAAGTACTAGAATACTGAATTTGCTGCGTGAATTGTTAGTTTGTAATTTATATTTTTGGGGTTGAGTATAATGGTTTTGATGTTATCCTTGAATAACGTTTAGATGAATCAAATAGTAGAAGTGGATGTTCTATGTGCATTGGATGTGTGATCTGCCATAAGGTTTTCACTGTTTTATTTGCAGCCTTTGAGAGAGTTGTATTCTGTAAGAAACAAGAAATATGGGGTTTCTTGACATATGCTGTAGTGTAGTACCTATGGTGCCTTGTGCCCATTGTCAGAAATTGCATATAAGTGAAGCAGAAGCTGAACCGTAGATGCTTATTTATGGCGTAGAAAAGGATATCTAAGCAATTGTTTAGTTCTTTCTCTTTGTACCTTTGTTTCTGAAGAAGGAAGTCTCTAAGGGCAAACTGAATGCATGTAGTAGGCATTTGTCAGCCGGGGTCATTGCAAGCTTGATATGTCTTAAGTTTAGCAATTTCTGATATGTGATAGAAACTTCTGTCCGACTCCAAGTATAGAATTAGTTATCTAGTGATATTATGGACTAAGTAGATACTAATTGTCTCATATGTTTACGTTAAAGTTTTTAGAAGTTTTGTGTGTATGGTGGTGGTTTTAGAGGCAAAGGCAAATGCTTTTTGAGTATATATTTTTTTCTTTCGATTGTAAAGGACTCCATAAGGATATGAATATTGAGTATAATTAGCTTGAAAGTTGAGAACAAATTATAGAAATTGAGAATTGATAGGTTATTTCTCTGTATTGCTTATTTAAAAACTTCACGACAAAATTTCTATGTTCCCTAACATGTACAGTTGTGTGGCACACTAATATAGACCTTATTGACTATGTTTCCAATTGCAATTATCTCCTTTTCGTATCATGTACCAACACCTAACACATAAGGCAATATATCTTATACTTGAAGGTTGTATGCCTTACCTCTTTTGTACCTCTGTGTCTACCATACTGCCTTGTGCAATTGACAGTCTGATCCTAACTACCTCTTAAGAAGTTTCCTTTAAGCACATGTAGGACATAGGTATGTTCCGCCAGTATTAAGGCTTGGGTACTTCAACTCAATATGAATGAGTGCATAGAATTATCCTAAAGGTCGTTATGTGTTACTAACATCGTTGAATCGTTAAAATGGTTCATGCATCATGTCATATATCGTAGGATATTGAAAATGTACAGTTGAGTTCTCTAGGAAGTCATATAGGAGACTCGCTAAGAGATCTTATGATGATTTTTATTGAAGATGATTTTGCAAGTTTTCTTACATCCAAATTACTATCTTTTTCTGAAGTTGTTGTTGGTTCACTAGAACTTATTGATGGAGTAATATGTGATTCAGTAGTGAAAAAGTACATGTATCACATATTGTTCGATGGTAAATATTCTGCGATCAGTGATGCAGTTGTGTTCTTCGATATGACGTCATGTGTTCTTGAGAAGGCATGAGGTCTTTTCTGCTCGTGATTTATGATTGACATAGCTTCCACACATATGGCAGTTCCATGTTGTATCGTTTTTCTAATAAGAGTGATGTTATTAGCTCTTACTTGATTATGCTTGTTCTTTGCCACTGATTTTGGACACAGTGATTTTGCTTCCATTCTATGAGCCTAAAACCTGCAGCTTGCTCTACTTTATCTTTTGTCCATAAAACTTTTCTTGCTCTAGCATCATAAATAGCCTTTCAGTACTTTTTCCTTTTAGTAATATTTGGTGTCCTGACCAACCTGCGCATACCTTCACTGATCCACCAGACGGTCTGTCAAAGCCCACGAACAGGCAGGTTGCCAAGGTAATCTTGTTCGCAATATACAAGCAGGTGGAATGGTAACACACCAAGTATTGTAGTCTGGGCTTCAACCTTGATGGCTCAACTATTTAGCCATCTCATGGAGATTGAAAAACTCCTTTCTTAGGTTACAGTTCTTATCTAATCATATACAATTATTAGCATTCAAGAGAAGCTTCAAATTCTCATTGGCATTGTATATATGGGATGTCAGAGGTTTTGTGAAATGACTAAGCATGGGCTGTTGTTGCCTTGAAATATATAAAATGTTGCACATGATCTTTCTTGTGTTCTGGAGTCTGAATCACTCTTCATCTCCTTTTTGTGTACACACACACACACACCTTTTAGAATCCAATCTTTATCTCACAAAAAGCACATCTTTATCATACTTTTGCACTAGGCCAAGTCAAAATTACTTATTTTCTCTTATCTAGAGTCATGTTCTCGATAAATTGCGGGTGAGTCATGTTTGGTCTAAATTGTAGCAAAACTTAAACATGATACAAAGAGATTTGAGGAAAGATGAGGATCCTGAAAAGAGAGCAATAAAGTAAGCTTCACTCCAATCAGACATTTGCAGGATATTAAGACAAAATGATTTGATGGACCCTTGTACTTGTATGAGTTTGTATTGTGAACCCTTCTACTTACCTCTTTGTCATCTGGACCCCTGAACCTATCTAAACTCGACCTGTTGAACCTTTTCAACTCATCATGACTCTCAATCGCGCTAATGTCACACGCCATGTCAGATAAAATTTGCCACATCATTTTTATAATAATTTCTTTTTTGACAAGAAAAATCATAAAGTTTTGATGCAATTTTGACAAATTAAATTTTAATTTATTATTTTAAATTAAAAGTTTGGGTCTCCTCACATCATCTTCCATTTTCACCGTGAAATGGCCCAACTGTCGGAAAAAATCGTTGTTGTTGCCGCTCCTCTTGCCGGCAAGACCACAAATACAATCTCCCCCACCAACCTCCATCTTCATTGCACACCCTCACCATTTTCTTTCCTCCTTCTCTAACCTCCACAAATCCAGAAACTCTAAGCCGCCGCACTAGCTCCTCGCCCCTCACCATCATCGACCGCTATGCTCTCCATCCTCTCCGGCGTATCAAAAGGCCAAGAAACTCCTTACTGCCTCCGGCGTACAAATATGCTAGGATGCTCCTCGCCGCCGTCTTAGTTGTCGTCGCAACTCTTGCCGGCGACCATACATGCTCTCTTCCTCCCTGTCTTCATCTCCGTCGCACCATGGCCTGCGTCGTCTCTCTCTAGGTGCCAATGCGAAGATCTGCTAAAGAAGATGACAAGAGTGTGAAGAAGAAAGAAAAATGGATTGGACAGGGATGGAGATGGCCAAAAATGGAGGTGAACATGTTGGCGGAAGAAGAAAGCTTTTTTTATTATTTTTTTTAAAAAAGTTTATTTTTATTTTTTATTTTTTTTATTTTTTAAAACTTAAATAGGATATCACTCGCCTTAACGAGAGTGAATTCACGCACTTTTGCCAACTCAACCATATTGATGCCACATAAGCCTAGTCAATGGTCAGAGGGGTTTGATAAATTGTGTTTTATTAAGTATAAGTGCTCAATTGATAAAGAGTTAAGTAGAAGGGTTCACAGTACAAACTCATACAAGTACAGGGGTCTATTAGACCATTTCGCCGGATATTAATTGTAAAGTTTATTGTTTAGAATCTGTGAAACTTTTATCTGGCTTTAATATAATAAATTTATTAATTTTATGTTTACCTGATCTCTAAAAGCCAGTTTCTTGCATTGGAAAAGTATAAACGGATAAACCTTTCTAAATTATTTGTCGAGGAAAAAAGAGTAATTATAATTTTGCAATAATTTTAAGGGAGAAAATGAAAATCCAAAGTTTCAATGGATTTAGCTTGGATGTGAAGGAAAACCATTCAAAATTGATCATGTTGCGGTAAGCAAAAATATTAAAACATTAGAGGACAGAATTACTTCGTACCTTTAATCAAATTTTGTAGAAGATTTTGATTTAAATTTGAATTAATCAGAATTAAAAATAAATATCGAACGCCAAATAAATGAAAGAAAACAAAAAAAAGAGTCCTAAGGAAATGAGAAGTAGAATGGTAGCAAAGACAAGATGATGAAGTCAAAGAACTTTTGTTTGGTTATGCATCATCATCATCAACAACTCCAAAGTGCCAATCTTATCTTGTTCCTCAAGATTGTCAAAAAAACATATATAATTAGTATATACTAATATAGATTGTAATTATTAGGACCCCATTATTAAACTTAAGAGAAATCTGATTTGTTTGATTTCTTTTCAAGATGTAAAATCCATAGTGAATCTTGTTGGTAGAATAGACTTCATTTTCTATCCTTTTTCTTATTCGACATTTGATATTTATATTAGAGCTTGATTAATTTTGAATTTGCTATAAAAAATCGAACAGTTGATGATGACTCCATATCCAGGATACAACCCCAAAAGCCAAAATGCGAAGATATCTAATAAAGATAAATGAATACTTATCACTCCGTCACAATTTTTATCGACAAATAAACTTTCTTACATTGCTTTTTCAAATTAACACTTCCATTAAGGCCTTTGAATTTTATGCTTTCTTTCACTAATAATAACACTTTATTTCTTGTTAAACTTTATTATCACCTATTAATTTCTAGCCAACCAAATCATGACAATTAGCCTATGGTTTAAATACTTATTAGTGCTACTTTTGCACATGGCTTACTACTATATATTATTTTGTTTTCAATCTTTATTATTGCACATTAAAAGCTCTTGTGTCCATTTCACT